TGAAGGTTAAATAGAGTTGTCTACATGAATATAGCTTTTCTACTGGGGTCATCTAGGACCTACTGCATGATTTGAAACAAAGAATTAAAAGAAGACATCTTTTTATGCAGCTAAGAAGAAGACAAAACCCTTGAACTGTCTAACTCTTCTATTGCCTATAAGTGGACCCCTGTGTCTAGTCTGGCACAGAAGAAAATCAAATGACTCATTCATAGTGACCATGAGAGCTGGGGAATGTCAAACATTCTCTGCACCATAAGGAATGCTGGCCCACACTTTGCACCCAACCCTTCGGAGTATTAATGACAATGTGGTTTTTAAGAAGGCCAGGCTCCAGGGTGATGCCTACCAAGGGTTAGTTATTTGGAGTTCGATTCTCTTCTGTGCATCCCCAAAACCTAGCAGCACAGCCTAATTCCACAACTCAAATCCCTGCCAGTCTGCTCCCTCAAGAAGGTTTATTGTGCACTGAGGTAATGTGTGTACTTGAGAGCTGTTGTTTGCATTCAGTTGTCCTCCAGTACATGTCATGAAATGTATAGGGCATAAATAACAGAAGAAATGTGCCTTCAGTACATTAACAATACTGATTAACTCTTCACAGGAGAAGGGATATGTTTACTTAGAATACTGTATGTATACACCTAGTCTCCTTTGTGAATCACATCACACTCAACTTGTGTGTCAGTTCACAGAGTCAGGTCTCCTTACACACTTCCCTACCCAGAACTGCTTTGTCTCCTGATCCAGTGTTGTCAGAATCCCAGCTGTATCTGAGGTGTTACAGGGATTTGTTCCCATTACAGTCACCAGCCAATAGGAGCCAATAAATGCAAGTTCAGACACTGGCTAAGCAGAGTATTACTGTACTAAACAAACTAGCCCACAGAAGATCTGCTTTGGTATGATGATGTATTTGACCATTGCTCAAGAGCTCTGTTTCCTCAGTAAGATTAATCATAGCTCAGCTGGGTGAGAGCACTCTCGGGCCACCTCCCAGCCCTCCGGCCTCCTCTCGTTGAGCTTTAAAAGATTGTTCATGTCCTTGTTTGAAAGCCTCATGACACACAATCCACTTCTTAGGTCTTTCTACTAGACAAGTGTTGTAGAGGCCTTTTATTCTGAGTGTTCATATAGCAAAATAGCAAAATGGCCACACTTCCTCTAAACTTCATACAGCCTGAGCTATTTGTGATTTTCTTCTTTTTTGCTTTTATACAGTAATATGCACCAGCAGCAGAAAAGAAGACAAAAAAACTTTTTTTCTTTTTTGTTTGGTGAGAATCATCTTTAATTTCTTGGCTTCTTTATGAGGGGGGTAGTAATGTGAACAGTAAAATTACAGGCATATCTGCAGGTTCTTGCTTTTCCAACATCCATCCATCTGTTTTCTAACTCCTCTATCCACTACAGAGTTGAAGGGGAGCAGGAGCCTATCCCAGAAAGCAACAGGCACAAGGTGGGATACATACTGTATGGGAGGCTAGTCCATCAGAGGGCACACACAGACACACACACTCACAACAGGGCCACTTTTCCCAGAATCCAATGAACCTACCAGTGTGTCTTTAAACTGTGGGAGGAATTTGAAGCAGCAGGGGAACATATACAGTGTAAACTCCACACAGACAGCACCCCGAGTCTTGAATTGAACTCAGGCTCCCAGCACTACAAGGCAGTAACGCTGACCACTGCACCACCACAACGCTCACTTTCCTAACATTTCTGACTCAAATAGAAGGGACAAATGGCACCTGTAGAGAAAAGGAAGAGAGTTCAAGATGAACAGAAAAGATACGTTAGGCACCATATTCATGACGGACACTTTGAATGAAGCATTAAGTAAGGTGGGAGTTAAACTCCATTAGTAAGGCCACATGTAGATTGTTGTGTGCTGTTTTGGTCACCCTGCTGCAAAAAATATTAATTCCCAGGCATACAACAATGTTCTACCCCTGCAAACTAGAGAAACTGTAGCTATTTAGCCCTGAACAGGTAATATCATACCACAGAAAAACAAAAAAAACAAAGACAGTAGTGCTTTTAGGACTAAGAACTAGACTTCTTTAAATAAAAGAGATTGTAAGTTAGGAACAAAGGTGTTCAGCAAAGGTGTTGATCTTTCAAGAAACAGCTGGATAAAACAGTCAGATCAATTGGCACCTAGAAACCAACAAATCAGTATAGTCTAAGTGGGTGTTTCCTTTACCTTTCTTATGGTCTAATACCTTGAGAGGCATCATTTCTTAAAATTCCTTGAGTTATGACGCCCCTCCCCTCTGTGGATTCCTGTGGGAGGACGAGTT